CACGCGTGTGTGGAATCCGCGCGACTCAGCCCTGGCGACCGTCACCTCGAGCACGGGGCCCGGGGCCAGCCTCGCTGACCGGTTACGTCTCTCCTCGGTGCCTTCACACAGGGGCGTCGTCTGCTCTGGGCGCAGTGTGTGGCACTTCCTAGGTGCTCACACGACACCGAGCGGGCGCGGCCCGGCGGGAGGCGTGAAGGGCCGTCGGGGCGAACGTACACCTGCAGACGGCACGGCGCCCGGTCCCCGCCGCCCGCCCCCGACCCCGAGCGACCGCGCACTGAGAGCCATCGCCTTCCCGAAGGACGGCGTCTGCCCACGAGCGGGTTTGGGGTCCTCGGGGAGCTGCAGGAGTCCGGCCGCTGCGGTGAGTCCTTCCCCGGGCCTGGGGGACGCGGCGAAGCTACTGAGGTGGAACCGGGGGCGGGAGGGGGTCGGGGGCCCTGAGGCTTAGCGGTGACAGTCTCAGGCCGGTCACAGCAGACGGAGGGCGGGGGCGCGGCCCCTGCTGTCGCAGCCGTCGCTCGCGTCTCGGGCATGGAAGGGGCTCCGGGCGCCCTAGTCGAATAAAGCGCTGGGCGAACGGGCGCGAAGCACCCGGAGTCTCGAGGGGAAAATGTGTTTTCGTAGTCGGCGGCAGATGGTAGCGTCTCCTGTCTATCCGACAGAAAAAAGTGACTCAGTCCCGCATCTGCAGCCGTCTAAGGTAGGCCCGGGGGCTGAAAAGATGGAGATTGAGCCGTGGTCCTCTCTCCACGTATTCCATCCAGCTCGTTGGAGGAAAGCGTTTAAAAAGGAAAAGCAAAAGAAAAAGGAAGACCGTGTTGTCAGGAGTGGGATTCGAACCCACGCCTCCAGGGGAGACTGCGACCTGAACGCAGCGCCTTAGACCGCTCGGCCATCCTGACGCCCGGCGGGCCCTCGTTCTTACTTCTCCCTAAGGCTGTCACACAGAACTGTGTTACGGCGTCAGGGTACATCTGTCCCGTGTTCATTCATGGTTTTAAATAAAACCAGATTTCCCTGGACTCCTTCGCCAAGCAGGGAAAATAAAGCTGCCACCGACCCCTCTTTCCTGTTCCCTCCCGCCTCACCATCCCAAACGGTCAAGACCCATTTTCCCTGGCGCCCGCTCTCTGGAGGGACCGAGTAACGCCAGGTGGACCTCTTGCCAGCCGGTCTCCCTCGACCGTCCGCCCCGGATCGCCCTTAGGGTCCGACTCCGGGTGGACCCAGTGCTGAGGCACCCCGCGGCAGGAGGAGGGCGCGATACGTGCTCTCGGGAGCAGCTCTCTGTACCTCGGGGTCCAAGGACACCGAAAGGGCAGGCTGGGCA